TAACTATGAGGCAGCCATCTGAAAGCATTCTCTAACTTAGCTTCTTCCTCTGCTAAAAGATAGAATGGTATGGGAACCTGGGAGACACCCTCCTACCCCAGCTTCACTTCTGGTAGAGGTAGACAGAAGGTAAGAGCAGAGGGGTGATCAGAAAGTGGGGCAATGGAATCAGGAAGATCTGGGTTTGAATCCTTCCTCAGACACTTACTAGTTATGTGACCCTAGGCAAGTCACTTGACTGCTCTCAGCCTCAGTTTCCTCATCTGCATAATGGGGATAATAGCAACTACCTCATTGGTTTATTATGAGGATCCAGTGAGATAGCATATGTAAAGTGCATTGAAAATCCTAAAGCTCTATATAAATGCTAGCTGTTCTCTCTGTCCCTGTCTGCCTCCCCTCCCCTGAGATTAAGTGATTTACCAAAAGTCACACCGGTAATAATCACTGAAGGGGATTTAAATCCAAGTCCTCTACTTCCAGATTTAGAGTTCCTCCCACTATACCAAGCTGCCTTTTCAAAAGAATATCTACATACCATGTAATTTAAATGCCATTTTTGGAAAATCTCCTGGTGGGGAGAGGGGAGGAGAAGAGGAGACATTCACTTCTTACCTTCACTAAAGACTTGTAGACTATGGGTCATATATTCCTGATGTATTAGTGAATTGAAGTAAATCAAGTACGTGTGCGTATGTGTGTCTGTGTGTGTGTGTGTGTGTGTGTGTGTGTGTGTGTGTGAGAGAGAGAGAGAGAGAAAGAGAGATGTTGCTTTATTTATACAATTAAGGGAGCACAGCATTTTTCACTGAGGTTGGATGGTGGAGGATAGTGGCTTGGATAATGGAGGAGACTGATCACCCCACTCACCTTTGCTAATGCCAAACATAGGGCCTGCTGGTCATCGTGACGGCCTCTCACCAGCCCAATATCCCAAGTCACAGAAAGAAGCTCTTTTGGGAACAGCCTTGGCTTTGGGCAGGACAGTTGTGAAGTTTCCCCTTCTTATCTGAAGTTAACCAAGTTTTGACAAAATTAAATGCTTTTGGGATAAAATGGCCCATAGCATTCTCAGTATCAGATGGAAGAATAAGATGAATGTATATGTGATTGAACTTTTTTCTAGAGAGCAAGATAATTTGGAGCAGTATATGTATAAGTTGGGAAAGCTCAGAAAAGGAGCTGGCTGTAATGGTTGTTTACCTGGTTGTAAACTGAACTCCCACCCCCACCCCCAATAACACCCAAGGAAGTTGAGAAAAGCATAATTGGTTTTCAAACAGCCTTATATAGGGGTTCCAGACTCTGCAACCAGACTGAGTCCCTTCAGGTGGATGATACATAGGTCCCCTACTTTGTATTCTTTCCCATTCTATCCCTACTCAGTTCTTCTTTCCCATCTTATCAGGAACCTAAGAGATGAAAAAAAAAATCAAAATCAGTTGGCTAAAGCAAGTACCTGTTCCTCCCACTCCCTGAGTCTCATTATATGTTATATAAGTTGAAGCATAAAAAAGAATTTTGATCTAAATAACACAATACTTTGGACTATGGGGTGCAAGTTTATTTTTGTTTCTTTTCCTTCTGAGGCTGACTATCCTAACGAAACAGATCATACCATGAATAGTTTTAAAAACAAGCTATGCTATTTCATACACTGTAAAAATAGGATTCTTTTTTTTAAAAATTATTGATGCTATTTATTTTTTATACCTCAGACACTTCCTTTTTACTATCCTCATTCCAGCTATCATAGTGACTGCATCTGTGTGTGCAACATTTGATACTTGTTGTCTACCACCTCTCTACTGAGAGAGGAGAAAAGTGTTTCATCATTGGTGCCCCAAGAGTCAAGATTATTTATTGCATTTCATCGGCATTCTTATCATTTTTAGTGTTGATTTCTTTTACATTATTATGATATTGTGCAAGTTGTCTCCTTGATTATATTTTCTTCATCCTGGATAAGCTAATAGAAGTCGTTTTATGTTTCTCTTAATTCTGAAGACTAACTTTGTTCGGAGTCCTGCCAGTCTTAGATCTCTACAAACAGCAATGGTTGTTTGCCATTACAGTGACAATTGATGTGCCTAACAATGACCCTGAGTCACTCCAAGGTCCTGAATCTTCAAAGAAAGTCTAAACAATCTCTAGTAGAGTTTTCGTACTAAGTATACATTATTATATTTGTATGCTTTAAAATCAACTCTTATGTAATAAGGGAACCCATCTTTTTTCACTTGCTAATTTTTTTCCCTTTTGATCTGTTTCTTCTTTCACAACTGTGACTAATATGGAAATATGTTTTACATAATTGCACATATATAACCTATATCAAATTGCCTACCATTTTAGAAGAGAGGAGGGGAGGGAAGGAGAAAAATTGGGAACTCAAAATTTTATAAAAATGAATGCTAAAATTATCTTGACATACACTTGGGGAAAAAATAAAATACTATTAAAAAAAACCCAAGGTAACCCGTGTGTGATATGTTCATCAGCTACTAGATCAAACAACTATTTGTATGTCACATATTTTTTACTCTGAACAGAATTATGATAACTCTCTTTGGTGTCCACAAGGTGACCAAAATATTTTACTTTAAAGTTAACAATTCAGAATATTATAAATATCATAAAACTTTAGTAATATGGATAATCAGGAGAAGTGTCAGTTTGAGTTACATTTTTTGGGGGGAGGTTAGGCAATGGGGTTAAGTGATTTGCCCAGGGTCACATAGCTGGTAAGTGTTATGTGTCTGAGTCTGGATTTGAACTCAGGTTCTCCTGAATCCAGGGCCAATGCTGTATCCACTGCGCCACCTAGCTGCCCTTGAGTTACATATTTTTAAAGAAATGAACTTTATTTCCTTCAAACACACAGGATATCCTGCAGTAACTATTAGGGTGTTTTCAAATGGAAATCCTGCAAGCATGCTTATTAGTGAATACAACTCTTCTGTAATTAATAGTATCCTTGCTCACATAATTAATGACTAAAATTCTAAAAAGCAGTTTATTCTCCTTGTAAGTGGGTTAATTGTCATTAACTTAGGAAAAAGACATTTCTTCATGGAGTGATAGGCTTATAGAGTGTTAAAGCTGAAAGGTACTTGAGAGATCATCTACCAGGCATTTATAGGTAAATGCTTAAAAACCAGCTCTTGGCAGGAAGGGGATTTTTGCAGGACACACTTTTAAGTTTAATTTGCATTTTTAACGTTTTCTCTATCACTTTCTTACGTCTAGAAAACCAACAAAACAATAAATCAAGCCCTGGTTTGTAGCATTTGCCAGTTTCTGAGATACAAATGCTGAAAATTTAACAATTGCCTCTTTGAGCTGGCTCTAGTACACCCCTGAGTCCAGCCCCCTCATTTTATAGAAGAGGTTCTAACCAGTAAAAGGTGAAATTCATCCCAGCTGGATTCTAATTACTACAAATTCTAATTATAACAAATTATCGCAGGTGCTGTTAGTATAGTACAAATTAATGAGTTTTGTCTCTACTTAAGAAAAAATGGCTATAATGCATCAATTTGCATCCCTGTGCTATTTGGGGAAGAGGAAAAATACATGTTATTTTAGTCCATAAGTTTTTGCTAGTACAACAGACACCCAAACACAATGAAGACACAGATTCACACCAAAGGTTAATTTAAATCAATGTCATGTAAAAGTGTATCATTGAAAAACATTTTAATTCATTGTATTATGTTTAATATTATTTACAGAATAATTCTCAGATAAACCATTTTAAAAAATATCTTTAGAGTGGTGCATGAAGGAGGATGTACTCCAGGGAGCTGCTGATATTCCTTCTATCAGAAATTGTTCAATTCACAGATGTTGTACAAAGAAGATTATAAACAATTAGAAATCATTTAGCACATTGTGCGTGAAGCATACAACTGTGTGTGTGTGTGTGTGTGTGTGAAGCCTGGAGACATGAGCTCTTGTCCAGATCTGCCTGTAACTCACTGTGTGGCCTTGGGCAAGACACTTAATCTATATAGGACCCAGTCCTCCAAGTCTTCTGGACAAAGGAAGCCAGATTCCGTTATAAAACTACAAGCAGTAATAGATGACATTTATATAATGCCTTCAGGTTTGAACCATGTTTTATAGATATAATTTCATTTGATCATGGTTAAATGTCTTTTTTCTTTCTTTTTAAAATTTATTTATTTTTTTAGTTTTCAACATTCTTTCTTATAAGATTTTGAAATCCAATTTTTTTTCTCCCTCCCTCCCTTACCTCCCCCCTCCCCAAGATGGCAAGCAATCTGATAATAGGCTATACAATCAAATTAAACATGTTTCCACATTAGTCATGTCGGCTTACGTTCATTTCAAGAGTTAAAAACTGGATAAAATGTGCGGCTTTGACTTATTTCCTTCTAATTTGCCCAAGTTTCTCCACCTATAACCTAATGGGAACCAGAGGAAGGCAAAGTTAACTGTTGCCTGTGGTACAATACTGAAGAGGGCACAATGCATGACACTTTTTTTTTAACTCATGCTTTTAATGCTGGAAAATTCCACTTTCCTCAGCACATACATATTTTATTTTGTGATAAATGAAGCCACATGTATAACAGCGAAAGCGCAAAAGCCTCTACAGGACAGGAACACCTTGCCTAGAGCACAAAATGCTTTTTTTATCCCTCCCCTTCCCTGTTCCCTCCCCCCACCTCCATTTCCACTAGGAAGGAGAACAAGCTGTAGAGTAAGAGTTCTTAACTTTGGGTACACAAACACACACAATGTATATATAAAATATATACATACATTGCTGTTTGGGAATTTTTCAGTCATGTCTGACTCCTCATGACCCCATTAGGGGCTTTCTTGGCAAAGATACTGTAGTGGTTTGCCATTTCCTTCCCCTGTTCATTTTACAGATGAGGAAACTGAGGCAAACAGGGTGATGTGACTTGCCCAAGGTCACACAGCTAGTAAGTGTCTGAGGCCAGATTTGAACTCAGGAAGATGAATCTTCTTGACTCCACAACCTGTACCCTTTCCACTTCACCACCTAGCTGGATAGATAGATAGACAGAAGACAGACAGATTGATTAGATAGATAAGTTCAATATAATTGGTTTAATTTGTAATCCTGTATATTTTGTTTTATTCATTTAAAAAATTCTGAGTAGGGGTCATAGGCTTCACCAGATTGTCAAAGGGCTATATAACACAATAAAAGTTAAGAATCCCAGGTTAATAAAGTTTAAGAATCTAGATGATCTATCTCTAAGGTTCCTTCCAACTCTAGAGTTGTGACATTGTTTGTAAGCAAAAGTTGCATTACCATTTGTTAGGGGCTATCACAAAGAGGAGATGGCCTTTTGGTCCCTTCCCACGCTGAGATTTTGCGAAATTTCTATTACCACAAGCTATGTAGGTCACCAACTCTGGAGGAATTATTCTTCCCCCTTATTTATGTGACCCCAGGGCAAAGGGGAAATACAGTGGGAGGGATGACTAAGAGAGTGGGTTATCTCCCCTTCTTTCTTTTAGGGGAGAGGGAAGAAATGATGGTGTTGGCATACTCCTGAAGGCAAAGGGGAAAGTGGGTTTATTATTTTAAATAGCAAGGGAGATCTTTCAAATATCTGAAGAGGTTACAGTAGTAGTATAGGTTTTGAGCTGGAATCAAACTTAGGGATCAACTAGGCTAACTCCCCTCATTTTACAGAGGAGCAAACTGAGGCTCAAAGGTTAAAAACTTGCCTCTGGTCACACAGGTATTAAGTGCCAGAGGTTCAAATTCTGATTCTCCAAATCTAGCACTTTCCATTACATTGGTTCTATTAATTGCTCCATCTTTCCTCTTCACACGGTGAATTGCTTGGCACACTCTTTTTGTTTTGTTTTTGCTTGTACGTTCTAGGCACTTAATAAGTGCTGTTTGAATTGGATTGAAGAACAACATTAAAACAGATTCTACTTCCTTTCATTATTTAGATATTTTCGCAATTTATTTTTAGAGACAGTAAGAGCCTTCACTCAGTAGTTCAAGAGTTTTTACACACAAGTGAAAATCAAAATGAGATTGGGCGAGGAATGTAATTGTCTCACAGCCAACTACATGACTGCCTTATAGGAAAGTTATTTTTAATTTTAGACCAACTCATGATGGCCACCAGTCTCAAATCTGTAGTAGTATACTTGTACTGAGGGAAAAGAAACATATCCAACTATCCCATTTAACATAGAGAAGTCAGACAGGTGAGTTGTAGGTAGGGAGTAGGATAAAATGATTTGGGTTGGGAAGAGATAATGGAAATAGATGCAGCTCTTATCTCACCAAGAACATAAAATGTGCAAGTTCCAATTGAATATCTATAACTGTTAGTGGAATGAATTTGGAAACAATAAAAATGTTCACTAATTTCACTGATTTGATTTCATATTCAAGAGCCACTGTATCCAGGCCCACAAGACTGAAAGGGATTTAACAGTTCAAAATTAAAAGCAATTTGGGATTGTGTAGACAGCTAATTGTAATCACTTTGAATTTTAAAAAGAAAAACACCAATAAAGCAGACCTCTCCAACTCTACTGTGCTTCCCTCACTCTCAGAGAAGAAATTTCCTAGGACATTTACAAATAAATGCATTCCCCAAACCCGTCAAGTGACTCCATAATTTTTCAAAGCACATCAAAGTGTTGAGAAAGTAACCTTGAATGAACAGTAATTCTTCCTGGAATTTACACATAACTCTCACCCACATTCTGACATCTTTCCTGGCCTAGAGGCTTTTTTAGTAGCAAAGGAAGATTAGGTTACCCTTCGGGCTAAGGCAGCCTCAGGCCTGGGGAGGGGCTTCTTCCTGTAACTCAGCCTCTGTACAGGTTTCAGCTTCGGGGGGAGATTTCTTGTCTTCCTCCAGTTCAGTATCTACAGCTGAGGCTTCCTCAGGCTTAGGAGCTTTGTCACTGGCCTCAGCCACCTCCGGCACAGCTGCAAATGTGACTTCTGGCCCTGATTCTACACTGACCATAGCAACTTCACTGATCTCTAGATGAGCTTCGACACTGACTGCCTGAGTCTCCTCTGGACCAGCTCCAACGCTGACTACCAGAGTCTCCTCTGAGCCAGCTTCAACACTGACTGCAGAAGTCTCCTCCAGGGCTGCATCTTCCACATCTGGAATTTCTTCAGCTGTTGCCAAACCAGCCTCCAAAGAAGAAGTATCTTTAGGGGCTTCTGAACTGCCTTCATTGGTTTCTGTGGGCTTTACTTCCTCATCTGTTGAGATTCATTTCATTAAAAGACATACAAAAGGAAAAAAAAAATAGCAGGAAAATAAAAGCCCAAACCGCTTATTTTCATTATAAATATTGTCAAAGTAATAATGTGATGTGATGAAAACCTACTGCTTGTGTTCTACAAAGATAGAAGATAAAAAAACCATTCAATTAGCAACTGCTATCTGTTACTGAAAGTATGATCATTTAAATTCACCAAATTTCCAAGTTGAAAGGGACCTCCAAAATCATCATTCTATCTACCTCTTCTCTACTTTTTGCACAGGTGGTTCCTACACCCCGCTCCCTCCCTGGCATTCCCTCCACTCCTTTGCAGACTACCTAGCTTCCTTCAAAACACATCTCAGCTGCCATCTCCTATACTAATTATTTTGCTGATGCTTCCTGATATTATCATTGCGCTCTCTCTCTCTCTCTCTCTCTCTCTCTCTCTCTCTCTCTCTCTCTCTCTCTCTCTCTCTCTCTCTCAAAAATTAACTTCGAATGACTTTGTACGTACTTTGTGGCAGTATTATTGGTCTACGTGGTTTATCACCTCATATAGCAGACTATAAACTTATAATAAACTACAAATATCTTAACTACTTTTTGTCTTTATACCAAGATTACAACCACATAATAGACCCTTCCTAAGTGTTTATTGAAAGGAATGGAATGGAATTGAGACTACTTCATCCATGGGACTCCATTTTAGGGTGGTTTTGTGGAAAAAGTCCTGTACATGAAATTAGGAAGAACTAATGTTCTTGTAACTCCACAGACAAGTCATTTAACATTCCTGAAGCTCCATTTCCTCATCTGTAAAATGAAGTAGTGCCTACCACACAGAGTTGTAGTGGGGATCAAATGAAATAATATATTTAAAGCACTTTACAAATCTTAAATTGCTACTTGGTGTCCCAAAAAACTTGGTGCAATTTTAAGCTTTAGCTTTAATTAGCTGGAAGATTTATCTAAATTTAAGCTAAAAAAAAAGCTTAAAGATTTATCTTTAAAACTTCACTAAGATTTTTTTTCTTTTGTTCTATTTCTTATCTCACAACATGACTAATATGGGAATATGGTTTACATGGTTGACATATATAACCAATATCAAATTGCTTACTGTCTTAAGGAGGATCGAGGGGAAGGGTGAGAGGAAGAAAAATTTAGAATTCAAAATCTTATTAAAAAAATGACTGTTAAAAATTGTCTTTACACATAATTGGAAAAATAAAATACTATTTTTAAAAAACTACGCTGTCTTTTGGAACACTTTGTGTAAACATCAGTTGCTATTATTATTATTATTATTATCATTCTTTACAAGCATCCAGGTACTGGATCATTCCATTACTGTACAAAGCAAAGTGAAGGGAGAAGTATCATTCACATATTTGTTAGCACAGTGCTTTGCAATACTCTATGAATGTTTTTTATTCATTAACTGATTCATTTTCCCCTCTACCCTATCTTAATAATACTGTATATTTGGATAGCACTTTACAATTCGGGAGAACCATTATCAAGTTGGAATAAAATTTGAATGAAAGCAAAGGAATTAATATAAGGCACCAATTCTATTCTATCTCACTTTTGTCTTTGTATTGTCAGTGCTTAGCATAGTCCCTGGCACATAGTAGGTACCTAATAAAGGTCCTCAGCAATGGAGTACAAAGAAAAAAAAAGTTCCTGCCCTCCTATGCTACTAAGGGGGTAGGGGTGGGAGTAGACAACAGATAAACAAATAAGGAAGTGTAAAACATGTACAAACCGGGAGGAACTAAATACAAAATCTATTATGATACAATTGAAATTTGAAAAGAAAAAAATGTCACATCTCTATTTCCCCAAATTGATCAGGTTAAAGAGGTGCCATTCAATCCCAAACATCTAAATGACTTTGTAGTCTAGTGGATTCTGGTTAGAAACACAAGCAGACAACGACAGTATTGGAATGAAAATGACTTTGTGCTTTGTGGGGAAAAAAAAGACCCAACAACTTTATTCCTTTATCTCAAACTGCTGAGCTAGACAAATATGAATGCCCTGGATTCCATGAACTGAATGAAGCCAAAACCCTGAAAGATAATAGATAATACTTCCAAACACAAAGGAGTCAAAGCAGTTGGTCAGCAATATAGATTCACAGTATCATAGCTCCAGAGCTGGAAGGATCTTAAAGGTCATCCAGTTCAACGCCCTCATTTTACAGATAAGGAAATTGAGGCCCAGAGAGATAATGTGAGGTGTCCAAGGTTGTACAGGTAGCAAGCAGCAGAGTTGGGATTCAGACCTAGTACCAAACTGAAAGCATTTTTATTAATCAAATTTTACCATCCCAAACACATTTCATTAGGTTTCAAATTATATTTTTCCTGTTGAATGAGCAACCTTTCAGTCTCAGATTCTGGATTTCCTCAGAATGGAAAGCAATGGCAAACAGTTCAATGCACATGCTTTAAAAACATAGGATGTTTTGTGTGTCAGGGTAGACGAAAAAGAAGAAAGCTTTTACCTGGATGTTGCAGCGTCTCTGGTGATTCCCTCATAGTACTTTTCACTTGCATGTTATTGATACGTTCTGTGTACCGAGACTGGTCTGATGTGAATGTCCTGTAAGCCTGAAAGCAAATGTATACCTGTATTTAATTCCAGAGCTCTTAGAATGATGATACTGAGTTCTAGTGATATAATTCCCTAGATTTAATCATTAAAAATGGAATATGATTTGTTATGGGTTTCTTGCTTGGAAGAAAAAAGAAGATTTGATACTATGAAATATATGGGGGGTTTTTTTGCTGCCCTTTCTTTCTTTCTTCCTTTCTTTCTTTCTCTTTCTTTCTTTCTTTCTTTCTTTCTTTCTTTCTTTCTTTCTTTCTTTCTTCCTTCCTTCCTTTTTCTTTCTTTCTTTCTTTCTTTCTTTCTTTCTTTCTTTCTTTCTTTCTTTCTTTCTTTCTTTCTTTCTCTCTTTCTTTCTTTGGCTGGGGCAGGGGTGGGGAGGAACTCCTGGGTGAAAACTCTTTCCACTGATGCTGATCAACAATTTGTAGTTTATGGTCTTAAAGGGATCCCTGAAGCACTGGGAGGTGAAATGTTTTGCACATGGTCATATAGCTAAAAGGGGTCAAAGCAGGTCTTGAACCCAGACCTTTCTGACTCTTAAAACCAGCTTTTTGGCCTCTGCACCAGTTCTCTTCCGGCAACAAAATAATGAGCAGGCCATAAGATATGAAGCTGGAAACAATCAGGTGAATAGATTTAGAGCTGGAAAGAACCTTAGATATCATCTCGCCCCCTTCTCATTTTTCAGATGGGAAAATTAACACTCAGACTTGCCCAAGATCATATGGGTAGAAAGCAGCAGATCATGAATTGAAACCCAGCTCTTCTGACCCCAAATCCAGTAATCTTTCCAAACTGCTTTTAAAAGGAAGAAAACTGAAATATTCTATCAAGTGAGATAAAGTGATGAAAATAAGGGAGTGACAATTTAACTTAATAAATCATGTTGAGACCAAATCATACAAACATTTTCTGATTCATCTACAATCCTGACTCACAGATTGCCATCTAGAATAATGCACATTTACAATGCCTCAAGTAATTGGTCGAATTACTGCTGTCATGCTGTTTAAACGAATCTGTATGCAATGAGTAACTGAAGCAGTAAGTGCATAGTGATCTTTCCTGATAGAAAATTTCCTTCGTTTCACATATGGGCTGCCTTCATTCACTTACATTCATGTAAGACTACAATATATGACATTCATCCCAGTGCAATTAGAGTTAATATTTGGGACCATGAACATCACAATTTTATAGTCCATAGGAGTGGTCAAACATTGGTCCCTGAACTTTATAAAACAAAGAAAATTATGATGCTATGAAACTAGCTTTTTTCTAATCATCCCATTGCTTTGCATAACATAGATCATCACCATATATAAGCCCTGTAATATTATAGTTATAAAAACACTTACATAATATCCACCAGCACTAACAGTGACACCAACAAAGAGATAATATATCATGTTTGACCCAGCTAATTCAGGGACTCTCTTAGCTGACATCTGTCGAAGGGATGCTGTAAAAAAAATTTTTTTTACGTTACTTCTATCACAATGGACAGTTTAAAATAATTACATTAAATTACATTAAAAAGCACATTACAAATTCAATTCAGTTCTGCATTACTGATTACTTCATTCAAAGATAAGTTCAGATGCTTATTTGAAACATTTTTATTTCAATATAAACAGATTGTATTTAACACAGAAATGAAACATTTATGTAACAAAATATTTCTAATAAAACTAAAAAATCAATAGAAAGAGAGGAAGAAACACCAAAGCTCCATCCCACCAATTCCCCTGCAAGGGAAAGGAGCTATAAGAAACAGGGAAAAACAGATGCTCATTGACTACATAACTATTTTAATGTTATCTTTTAAAATCTACTAAATCATATAATAAACTTTAGTAGCTATAGGATTCGGTTGTTTTCACATTAGGTATCAAAAATATGGATTTGTTTTCATAGTCAATCTTACGTATGGGTCATAACAGAAATACAAGAAAAGTCTTGTTTAAAGAAATAAAATACAGGGGCACCTAGGTGGTGCAGTGGATAGAGCACCGCCCCTGGATTCAGGATGACCTGAGTTCAAATCCAGCCTCAGACACATAACACTTACTAGTTGTGTGACCCTGGGAAAGTCATTCTGCAAAAAAAAAAATTGGGGAAAGGTTTCTTCTCATTCCTCTCTTCTGGGGCAACCGTGGTCATTATAGTTTCACAGTACTCAGATGAAATTGTGTTGTCATTGTTTTTCTTTCCACTTACATTATGATAGTCCTTGTGTATATTGTTTCCCTGGCTCTGCTTACTTCACTTTGAATCCATTCATATAAATCTTTCTGTATTTATATGTATTCATTAGATTCTTAAGCTCTTATAGCTGACATTCTATAGTGCTTGAAGGTTTGCAAAGCTATTTCCTAATATTATATCTCTTTATTCTCACAAAAGCTCTGAGAGGTGGATGCTATAATTATTTTTATTTTACAGAAGAAAAAATGGAGGATGAAGAGGTTAAGTGGCTTGTCCAGGGTCACACAGCTAGTAAATGTTCCAGATATGATTTGATTTCAGGTCTTCCTGATTCCAGGTCCAGTACTGTTTCCATTTCACCTCTACTGGGATTTATTGAGTAGAATAGAAAAGAATTAATCTCTGTTCATATTGTGAATTTTTATATTTGTACTCCCTATTAGCATGGTTGCAACTCCAGCATTTTTGGATTCATTTGAATAGTAAATGTTGTTCTAAATTCATTTTGATTCTATTTGTGTCTTTGCTTTTCAGAGGTGGCTTGTTAGTGCAGTAGATGGAGCACTGGGCCTTAGGCAGGAAGTCCTTAGTTGTTTTTTTGTTTTTTGTTTGTTTGTTTTTTAGGCAATTGGGGTTAAGTTGCCCAGAGTCACACAGCTAGTAAGGGCCAAGTGTTTGGTCTGAGGCCAAATTTGAACTCAGGTCTTCCTGACTCCATGGCCATTGCTCTCTATTCACTGAGCCACCTAGCTGCCACTATGCTTTGGTTTTTAAAATTTTTTGTTTTTGCAGGAATGCCTCTTTTTGTTAAACATCCCTCTTTTTCCAATGATAATTAGGCCTCTGTTTGCAGGGCATGTCATTTGGAGTTACAGATTGAGCTCCTTTGCTTTTCCAAATATAGTAATATTCCATTCTTTTCAGTGGTTGGGAGGGGTACAGAAAATCTTCTGTTATTCAAATTTCCTTTCCTTTGTATTTAAAGGCCTTTCTCTTGGGCTGCTTGCTGAATTTGCTGTTTGTCATTAGAATTATTACATTTGAACACTATGTGTCTTGGAGTTTGAAGCACAGAGCTGTTATTTTCTTTTTGTTTTTTTTTTTTTTTAGGCAATTGGGGTTAAGTGACTTGCCCAGGGTCACACAGCTAGTGTCAAGTGTTTGGTCTGAGGCCAGAGTTGAACTCAGGTCCTCCTGACTTCAGGGCCGGTGCTCTATCCACTGCGCCACCTAGCTGTTCCCAGAGTTGTTATTTTCTGTAGACAATCTGTGTATTCTTTCAATGGTGCTTTGTTTTGTATATTCAAAAGTTACGGGCAGTTGTCTTGTACTATTTCTTGAATAATGGTGTTCAGGATTTTTTATTTGTCATGTTGTTCTGAGAGACAAGACCCTACACATCCTGCCTTAGAGGTCAATGACTTTGGCTTGTATAAAAATAACATGTTCTTTTAATGTTATTATCTTTTGATTATCTTCTGCCAGATTTTTCTCCACTTAATTATTTTTTCATGCCAAATCTGTTAAACTCTCTTTTACTTTTTTTTGAGAAATTCTCTGCTATGTATTGAATTTTTTTCTGTTCCTAATGAGAGTTTTTTATTTCTGTATTTAGACCCATAAATTCTGATGTATATATACACATATATGTGTGTGTATATATATGTAGTTAGTCCTAATTTCTTATATTATAAATTTAATCTCTCTTTTGAATCCTTCTAGAATTACTTGTTTTTACATGCTCTCTTGGGATTCACAGTTCTATATTTCATCAGATATTGGTCTCCTTTCCTTTGTCTAATAATATCTCTTAAGATAGCTTTGTAATCTCTGTGGTTTTTTTGTTCTGTTTTGTAACTGGAAAAAGGTTTATTAATAATGACAATAGTAACAAATATTTACTTTAATACAAAACTATTAAGTTTGTAATCTCTTTAAGGATGCGGCACTTTTTCTGGTTTTAGGATATTTTCTACTGATTTATTTGCACTTTGAGTTTTTGCTGAGTTTGTTAATGTTTCAACATTTTTTTTCCTTTATATTTCCCCATCACTCACTATATGATTTCCTCCCCTGCCGTGCCACCCCTAGTGGATGCACCCCTAGGGTTGGATTGTAAAGCTGTCTCACCCTTCTCTCATGGTGGAAGATTTAATAATATTCACTGGGCTGGATCCTTACCATTATCAGTGCCTAGAAGGACAGACTCATCTGTAAAATGAATTAATTGGACTCAGTGGCCTCCCAAGTTCCTTCTAACCCTAGATCCATATACCCTATCACTGGCTTTAGCTAAGTTCCAGTCCCCATTTCTGCAGGCCTGAATGCAGCTATGCATTCTAGCCCCTAGCTCCTTTTTTGGCTTATCTCCTTTAGCTAAGTTCCAGTCCCCATTTCTGCAGGCCTGAATGCAGCTATGCATTCTAGCCCCTAGCTCCTTTTTTGGCTTATCTCCTTTCCTTCTGTGGGCTGTATCACTGGATGCACTTTTTTGCAGTCCAAAGGGAAGATGTTGAAGATGTTACAGGCAAAGTCTTTGCAGCCTTAGGGTTTGCTAACAGAGGACCACATCAGACCTGAGCCGGATGGCTTCCCACTCTCCTTCCCTCAACTTCTCCCCATTAAGCAGAATCAATATCTGCAGCTTGTTGCTAGTGGAGGGTAGAAGTGAGTGAGGTGTATAGACAAAGTCTGTGAAGCAAGAAGAGATCCCAATACCTGAGCCTCAGACATAAGGCTGGGGGTAGGTTTGTGTGGTCCCTGCCAGGAGTGGAGGCTGGGTGGAGAGGGGTCCAATTTAAGGATTAGTGGTCTCTTCTGTTAATTTCTTGTTGGAGGTCTCCCTCTTTTTGCTCTACATTTGGGACATATTCCTTTTTGGTAGAGTTTTTGAGAGTTAATGAGGCCTGAGGAAAGTGTCTAGTCAGGTATCTTGTTGATCTACAATTTATTTTTTAAATGTTTATATTGGCTTTAACAAAAACACCATGTTTGCATCAGAGTTTCTGATCTTTTTTTCTTCTTTGCATTTTTTTCAGATTTTGTTGCCATTAGGATTATTTTCACCCCTATTTACAGTCATGGTCGTTATGTATGCTGTTGGTCTGCTTTAAAGGAATAAAGATTTGACTAAAAACTGAATCCTAGCCCAGGTCCCGACCCCATGAGTACATATGCCTATCAGGGACCCTTTCCCAGGCTTCAGGGATGCTACCAAATTAAAGTGTCGTGAATAGCCTTCCATTACCTCTTTTCTTTACACAGAACCACACTCTTTTCTTTGTGCTATGTTTCCTTTTGAATCTGCAATTCTTGGAAGGATGAGAGGAACAAGGCTGTTGTAAACAAAGCCTTTACTTTACATTAAATTGATGGAAAGGGTCCTGCTTTATGTTTTGTGTTTATTTATATAGGTTTTTCAATCCAATGAACATTAAATGCTATGATGTACCAGGTGCTAGTGTTATAAAATTAAAAATTTAACAATGCTAGCACCCAAGGAGCTTATGACTTACTGGGGGTGGCAGGTGGAGGGAACACATTGGCAAATGAGTAAAGACAAAGTAAATACAGAGTAATTTCAGAAGAAACTCCCAACTGAGGAAATTTGGAAAAATCTTTTGTAGAAGATAGAGCTTGAGTTCAATGCTGGAGGGAAGAGGGCATCCAAGAGCTGGGTGAGGAGGGAGGGCAGACAGCCTGTACAGAGACAATGATGGAATGTCTCCTAGGGGACTTTAAAAATCAGCTCTAATATTTACATATTCCTCTTGTTTCTCAGGCATGAACACTAGCATTGATCAGCTTTTGTGAAGAAAAGGACTCCTACTAAGAAATGAAAGGGAAATAAGTTCTCATAGTGAGAGAAGCTATGCTGCTTAGATTAAACTAAATAACTTACATCCCCAAATAAATGAAACAAATGGTTTAATTAATTTAGCTGATAAACTCTTTCCTTAATTTTACATTTTAATTTCCTTCATTTTACAAATGAGGACCTACAGTCTAACCTGAGATATCAGTCAAGAGTAATCTCTTTAATGCAGAAAGTTGCTCAGTTGGTTGATTGGAGCTGTGTTGTGTAGACATAAAACAGGTATGAGACCATAGAAAGGTGACCTGAGGGTTTTGTTGCCTGTGGAGGGGTGTTCTTTTGTTACTAGAAGTTGGGAGCACATGTTTGAAACAAATACTTTATACAAAATTGTCATTCAAAACTCAACCCAAAGTTATGTACTGTGTTCAGGTTCTCGGGTTCTCTGTCCATCTGAGTCTCTCTCTCTCTCTCTCTCTCTCTCTCTCTCTCTCTCTCTCTCTCTCTCTCTCTCTCTCTCTCTCCTTTCTCTTTTTCTCCACCCCCTTCTCTCTCTTCCCTTTCTCCCCTTCTCTTTCCCCTCTCTCTCTTTCTCTTGCCTTGAGGTCAGAACTCTTTCCTTTCGGTCTTTGCAAATATCCTGATACTTTGTAAGTACCTAGCACAATGCCTGCCAGATACATAATGAATGCTTTTTTGAATAGATGAAGTAAATAAACAAAGAACACTGAGGCACCACCTGGATCTTTCTATCTCTTCCTTCCCTCAACCCGAATTGTGAATTTCTAAAGAAACAAGGTCACAGTTTTCTGGTTTCTGTGGATGCAAGAGACAGCTTTTCCCTAACCTTGGCCTGCAGGCAGGCTGTGTACCCTGATCGTATGTGACACATAGAAAGCAAAAATCTCCTGCCAGAAAGCCCGTCTTGCACAACAGCTGTGGACAGCTTTGCCCAGAGCCCCAGCTCATCACCACCATCACCACTGGCCTGCTTCTTTCTCCTTCAGCTCCTTACTCTATAAGAGATGCCTTAACAAAGGATAGGGAAGCTCTAACCTTAGAATTAGCAACAAGTAAGGATATGATCCTGGCCCTCAAAAGCCAAGGATGTTGTTGTCCAACAAGTTGCTTTTGGAGACATCTGCAGGGCACCTAGGGGATCAGTTAATTAAGTAGGCTCTTAGCATTACCTAACATCCAAGGACCTAAGGAACCTTAGAAGCCATCTACTGCAATTCCCTCATTTATGAAGGAAGAAACTGAGCCCCACCCAAAATAGTTAAGGGACTTGCTCAAGGTTACCCAGATTGTAAATGGCCTAGAAAATGGGGTCAAAATTCAAACTGAGTCCTCCTGCTCCAAATCCAGCACTCTTTCCATGAAGGTTGGGACAGAGGATCCCTTCTCACTGAGCCTGGAGAACAGATTGTGAAGCAAAGAGATGTCTGAGGTTACCTTGTCCAATTCCCTCATTTTACAGATGAAGAAAAATGATTTATTATATTCTTCAGGATAAATTATTATATTGCTTAAATCCAACCCTATGTGATTCAAGGTTGATTGCACCCAGAAGGTCCCCTGACCCCAGTAACTATCCAGGAATGCTAGAGATGGTTACAAAGTATTTTGGGTTCCCTCGGGTCCTGGATCTACCCAAAGCATTATTGTTTTGGGTTACATACCTAAAATTTGGGATAGGTCCACCCAAGCTTGTATTTTGGTTTCCCTTGTGTTTTGGCTTCACCCAAATTTTATTTAACATTTATGGTTACTCATATCTATCTCAATCTACCTTGCTTTCAAGCTGCCCTCTTGGCAAAATTGCTTACTGTCGTTGTGGGGTCCCCGATTGGGTGCCCTTGTCTCAATCCTATATAAATGTAAACCTTTCAGAGCATAGATGAGAGAGGGAACCACCTTTCCAGCTCGCTCCCTCTTTCTCCTCTAACAAATAACCTAATAAACTTCTTTCTAAACCTATTTCAGATTTTGGAGTCTGTTCTAGTGAAAAACAAACTGAGGTTGAAAGAGGAGTCAGTTGGCCAAGACTACACATTCAGCCAGTGACAGAAATTCAAGTCAAGGTCCTTTGACCAAACCTAGGGTTCCCCTCCCTTAAGCAATTGCATCACAGTGCTTGCCAAAGCAGCATAGCTGACCAGAAATGGCTTCTAATTAATGGTCCAGTTAAAACAGCTATTCTGTGATTGTAGTCCCACAAATATAATAATAGCTGGCATTTATACAGCTCTTCAAGGCACACTAGTTTATTTGGGCTTCAAAAGGACTCTGCTACAATCTTTATTATCCCCATTTTACAGCTACAGAAAGAAACCAAGTCTCCAAGAACTTAAGTGAGGAGTATTGTCAAAAAACTATTATGTAAGAGATGCAGAACTCCCAGGTTCAGCACTCTTTCCAGTACAACACTTAAAATTATAAAAGACGAGCCTGTAACCCAAAAGAGCCCAGACAGCTATCTTTGACATGCCAGAACTCCTCACTTAACCTCTTTGTGCCTCCATATTCTGCTCTGTAAAATGAAGGTGATTTTTAAAGTCCCTTCCAGCACTGAAACTATATACTATGATCCATGGGAGACTAGAGATTTCAGAATCCATGGCATAAACGGGAGAAGGGAGGCTTTCTGTCCCTTTTCTGGCAAAAAAGGCTTGCAGATACCATTAAAAACTGAGCATTGTCTCCTTGGGCTCTCATTGAAAAAGCCCATTAGCAGCCAGAGCTCTGGCTACTGGGGTTGGAGGCCCTTGCTTGGAATCCTGGCTATAACTTAATAGCTGTGTGGCCGTAGATCTCTTGGGACCTCAGTTTCCTCATTTGTAAGATTAGGAGATTGGACTAAATGACTTCGGAGATGTTTTCTGGCTCTAAATCTTATATCATCATTATCTCCTCGCATCTGTCCCGACTCCCAATCCCTGAGGCAAATTGTGCGCGCAGGTAAAAGAAGAAACTGGAGTCAGTCTCTACTTCTGACGGTCTCCAAGCTTTCAGCGCATCTTTCCTGTGCTGGACTGGGGCGTCCCCAAACACTGGGTAAACTCTTTCCCCTTCCTCCTGCTTCTCCTAGCCGGGTTCGTTCGCAAGATCCGATAGTAAAGGAGGGGATCATATGTGCTTGGGGGAGGCCACAGCTAAACTTCACAGAATGCATGATGCCCTGTGCCCTGAATCTGTCATCTATCCACCTCCACATACCCAGCCTGACAGTCCGACGGCTCCCAGCATCGTGGCTAGTCGAGGCTCCCAGCACTCTGGGGCCGCATCGCGCGCACTCACCGTGCTTCCAGAGCAGTGGGGGGCTGGAAAGCGGGGTCCTCAGGGGTAAAGTCAGAGTCTTCCCAACAGCCCTGCGGAGATACATAGTACCGTACCCAGAGCACCCCAGTCTCACAGTGCGGAGCAGCGCTCCGCTCAGGGAACCACCCAAGATAGTGGGCTGCCCGGTCCCGCCCCCAGGAGGAGTCCCTACTCGCCGCCACTGGCAGTCCAGCCCTCTTCTCAGTGAAACAGGGAGTCTAGAGTAAGAGACCGTCCAGGGCAAATGCTCTGCTCTTGCAAGGGACTCTGTTAGGGCTGGTTCCGGAGCCAATTAAAAGCCATGCCGCGGGCACACTGTCTGTTTGAGTTAATACTGGTTACTTTCCACCCTCTTCAGAGTAGGCTAGGCAGTTTTCAGAACGTCAGGCTATATGACAGCATCCAAGGGAAAATGGTCTATCACTTGCCATATATAATTTAAACTCTCTATATCTTTCCTCACCCTTACATCTAAAAAATCCTAAAAAGGGACACTAGGGCCTTAACATAAGGGAGTTGTGAGACCCAAGAGAAATGCACATCACATCAAGGATGTACTTTAATCTATTCAAAGCAAGCATTTAAGTGCCTTCGTTCCAGGTTAGAGACAGTTTGGCACAGTGGCTAGATCTAGCCTCAGAGCCTGGAAAATCTGCATTCAAGCTCCATCTCCGACACCTATTGGCTAGTCCCTAAACATTTCAGTGACCCCAGGCAACTAACATCCAAAGCTGTAGAACAGGGACCTATTTGCATTTGTAGGGGGAGTTCGAACACCCATGAAATTATAGGTTGGGAGAAAGGGGGCTCCCAAAAAGATGATACAAATGGGAAAAGGACCCACATGCACAAAAAATATTTATAGCAGCTCTTTTTGTGGTAGCAAAGAATTGGAAATTGAGAGGACGCCCATCAGTTGGGAATGGCTGAACAAGGTGTGGTATATGAATGTAATGGATTAAAATTCCAGTGTCTCTAGGACAGAAAATGCTTCTCTATTGCTCTGGATAAGTCAAATAAGTATTTCCATGAATAGGAAATGCTAGACTGTTGGCTTCACGTCTAGCATCCTAACATGTTGTCTTGAATGATTTCAGTATAGTTTGAGTATAACAGATATGATCATTTATACCTTAGAGGCAAAATAATATAGCAAATACAACACTGGATTTGGAGTCAAGAAGACCTGGGCTCAAATTCTCCTGGTGACATACTTACTATCTGTCACCCTAGGCAAACTAGTTAAGTTGGCTGTGCCTTGGTTTTCTGGTCAATAAAATGGGAGAAAGGGAGCTTGTAACCCTCTAAAGTTCTTGCAGTCCTAAATATATTATTTTACGATTGAATTATTTTAACAGCTTCAATAAATATAGCAATTTATTCTTTTCATGATTTCTGCTTTTGCTTGCAATATAGTTTGAGTAAATATGACTTCATTTATGACTTCAATGATTTCAGTCATTTAAGTAAATAAGGTAATTTATGCCTTTAGTGACTTTGGCATAGTTTGAATGAATACGGTATTTTATGCCTGCAAAGATTTTATGTAGTTTAGGTATAGGAAAGAGGGCATGTATGCCTTCAATTATTTCAGCGTAGTTTGGACACAGTAAATATAGTGATTTATCCCTTCAGTAATTTTGGCATAGCTGAATATAATAAATAACAACAGCACATAAATAATAGAGAAATTTAACCTTTCAATGATTCCAGCATAATTTCAGTAAATATAGTCATTTATGCCCTTAAAGATTTTGGCCTGGTTTGAGTACAGTAATCACAGTAATTTATGCTTTCAATGATTTCAGTATAGTTTAGAGATAGTAAATATGGCAAAATTACCTCTGCATGACTTTCTAAATTATTAGATTCCAAACTACTTGAAGGCAGGGACTATCTTATGTATCCTTGTCTTCCCCATGGCACCTAGCACAGTATGTTGCACAGATATGTTTAATATTAAGTTTAATATTTTTAGAATAAATGAAAAATCTTCAATTTCTGAACCTAATTCTAACATTCTCAAAGACTAAAAAAAAATTATCACATACAACCATAACAGAAAACCCTGGTCAGAATTAGCTTTTTAACACTCTTGAAAACACAAAGTTCAGCAAATTCAGTGGGGACCAAAATTTCAACCTGGACAGCTAGATGGGATAAAAGTGTAGAATCTTTAAATACCTTTACCAAATAATGTCTGAAGTCTTTCAAATACTAGACTAGGAATTATAGAGCTAGAGCTGGAAAGAACCTCAGAAGTCCTCTAGTCCAACCTTTTTATTTTACAGAAAGGGAAACTGAGGCCCAGGAAGGGAAAGGGAACTTGTCCCAGATCAAACAGATAGCAAGTAATAGAGTCAAGATTTGAGCCTAGGCCCTGACCTCTGACTGAGTGTGAGATTTCCACTCTAATACAATGCATCCACACCAGTTGATGCTTTTGATCTGATTAGCAGTTAAGTGCAGTCCCCTGGAAACTAGCAAAGATCCATTCCAATGGGGCCTTGAGGGTTTAAAGAATTTGCTGCCAAGGCAGGTTGAAAAATCTAGCTTTTCTGCCACTGAAGCTTAATTATTCTTGCCGTAATAAAATGAATTTTGAAACTTGGCCTGGTTGTCAGGGAAGCATTTTAGTCAAATATAGCAAATCATATATTTGGTTGATTGACTTGTACAGTTTCCTTTGACAGTGTCTGTGTCTTTGCACAAGGTTTCTCTCTCATGCCTAGGATGTTTTGCCTCCAAACTTCTATTTCTTGGAATCTGCTCAGGCATTCAGTGCCCTTCACCTCACCCTGAGGTGGGGAGAGCTGGTCAGAGGCTAGATGGGTATGAAATTGTACTTTTTTCCAAAGCAGGTGCCACTTGATAAGGCCCAGTTGAGGGACCCATGGCTTACCTATAAGGGTTTCCTGGGTGATTGTTTAGGCCTGTCGGACAATATGCTATGCCACAGGTCCATGGTGACCAGTGAAAAAGGGAAGAGAAGGGAATAAGCATTTAAATAGCACCCACTATGTGCCAGGCACATAGTGCTTTTACAAGATCAGAAAATCAACTTGGAAATTCTTGAACTGAAAAGCTTCTGTACAAATAAAATTAATGTATCTGGATTAAAAAAGGTAGTGATTGAATGGGGGAAAAATCTTGGTTATCAGAATTCTCAGGCAAGGGTTTCATATGTATGCATACACATCCATATATGTATACATACATATACAACTAACATACCTATATATGCATACTTAAGATGAAAAGCTATTCTCAAGTAGATAAGTAGTCAAAAGATACGGAATACTCAAAAGATTGCAAACTATTAACAACCATTATGAAAGAATGCTCTAAATCACGAATAAAAATAATAGCTAACATCTACGTAGCACTTACTATACACCAGGCACTTTACAATTACTATCTAATTTTATCCACACAACAGCCCTGGGAAGTAGGTGCTATAATTATTCCCATTTTACAGATGAGGAAACTCAGGTTAAGTGATTTGCACAGGACCAGATAATTAGTATGTGAGATGAAATATGAGCTCATCTTTCTGATTCTAGTCCCAGCACTCTATCCCATGCACCACTTCGCTGCCTCAAATCTAAACAATCCTGAGATTTTACCTCACTAACGGCAAATGGGAAAAGATGACAGAAGACAGGAGGGTTGTGAGAAAATAGGCACATTAGAACAGTCTTCATAGAGCTTTGAATGAGTACAACCATTTTGGAAAGCAATTTGGAATTATGCAAATAATCACATATTATCCAGACTAAAAATGTCCATATTCTGACCCAGAGATTCCATTCCTGTGTATATACATGAAGAAAGTAATTGGTAAGAAGAAAGTCTATTTGTACAACAACTTATTTATACCAGCTTTTTTTTTGTGGTAGCAAAGAATTGGGAACAAAGTAGATACCTATTGACTGAGGGATGGCCAAACAAATGTCGATATGTGAATGCAATGGAATATTTCTGTGCTGTAAGAAATGATAAGCATGATGAATACAGACAAGTATGGACTCACATGATGATGCGGAGTGAAGTAAACAGAGCCAAGAATTCAATATACATATCCACTACAAAAATGTAAATGAAAAGAACAATAACCACAAATCAAAAGTAAATGTTGCACATTTACGAAGAACAAACATAGCCCTATAGAAAAGATAAGGAGACACCTCCCACCCCATTCCTTTGCAGAAATAGAAAGGTGAATCAGTGGAACAGAGTGGAACATAAAATACAAAGTAGTAAATGATTATGGTAACCTTGTGTTTGAGAACTGTAAAGATTTAAGCTTTTGGGGAAAGAATTCACTGTTTTGTAAAAATTATTGGGAAAAGTGGAAAGCAGTCTGACAGAAATTGGATATAGACTAATATCTTAAATCATTTACCAAGATAAGGTCAAAATGGATATATGACCTAAAGATAAAAGAGATATCATAAGTAAATTTGAAGAATGTAGAACCTATTTCCTATCAGGCTTACGGGTAGGAGAAGAATTTTTTTGAGCATCGTGAGATGTAAAATGGATAATTTTGATTACATTAAATTAAGAAAGTTTTGTACAAATAAGACTAATGTGGCCAAGAAGGAAAGCAGAAAATTGGGGGGTAAAATTTTGTAGTTTTTCAGATAAAAGTCTCATCCCAAATATAGAGAATTTTATCATATTTATAAGAATATGAGTCATTCCTCAATTGATAAATGGTCAAAAGATATGAACAGAGAGTTTTTTGAAGAGCTCAAAACTAAATATGGCCACATGAAAAAATCATTATTAATTAGAGAAATTCAAATTAAAACAACTTTAGATATCACCTCACACTTATCAGATTGGCCAAAATCATAGCAGGGAAAAATGACAAATGTTTGGAGCAGATGTGGAAAAATTGGGACACTAACACACTGTTGGTGGAATTGTGAACTAATCCAACCATCTTGGAGAACAATCTAAAATTATGTCCAAAGAGTTATAGAACTATGTACACCCTTTGGCCCAGAAATACCACCATTAGGACTGTTTCCCAAGGTGATCAGGGAAAAAGGAAAAAAAAACCCTATATGTTTTAAAATATTTATAGCAGCTCTCTTTTGGTGGCAAAAGAATCC